GAGCTTATATACTTTCCTTGGAGAGGGCAGGGAGGGAAGTTCATTGATGGGTCAGGGCGAGTGGGCGGTTTGCCTGCAACCGGGTGAGGGGATACATTCTGCAGTTTGGCAGTTGGGGACAGCGCATTCTGGGAACAAGATTAGCAAACAGTTCTCAAGATTATTAACCTTTCAGTAGCACCCCTTCTAGCCCCACCCCCAGTTGTGACAACCCCAAAATATATCAAGACATTGCCAAATGTCTTTGGGAACAGGGAAGAGGGCTAAAATTATCCATTGTTGAAAATTACTGCCTTAGAATAGTGACGGTTTCTTTTTAGATAGGGTACTGGGGGAAAGGCTATGAAACTGAATCCTTGTTAGAAGTAACATGATGTTACTGGAAAAAGAAAAAAACAGATGATTTTAAAAGAATAGGCCCAGGATTAAAATGAGTTTTCAGAAAATCTAGTCATACAGGCCGCTCTTAACTTCACATCTGCTGATCCCTTCAGCCCCTTAGAGTCCAGACCACTTATATATTTGTCTACCAGTTTTCTGCTTTTTCACCTTGCTGCTAGCCGCAGATATTTTGACACAGATTTGGTATACTATGTCATTAGTTTGTACATATTTATTTTTTGCGGGACTAGAGATTGAACCTAGGGGCACTCTACCACTACTAAATCCCTAATTTTTGGTGGTGGGTGGGGGATACTAAGGATTGAAATAGACACTCAACCACTGAGCCACATCCCCAGTCTTATTTTGTATTTATTTAGAGACATGTCTCACTGAGTTGCTTTGCACTTCACTTTTGCTGAAGCTGGCTTTGAACTCATGATCCTCTTGCCTCAGCCTCCTGAGTCACTGGGATTACAGGCGTGTGCCACTGCGCCTGGCCCTAAATCTTTTTGAGACAGGGTCTTACTATGTTGCCCAGGCAGGCCTTGAACTTGCAATCCTCCTGCCTTAGCATCCCAATTAGCTGTGATTATAGGTGTACAGTATGACACCTGGTAGAATTTTCTTTGTTTATAAGGCTGATTAATATTCCATTATATGTATCACATTTTTTTTATTCATTCATCTGTTGATAGACAATTAGGTTACTTCTATCTCTTGGGTAATGTAATGCTGCTGTGAATATTGGTGTACAGATAGTTGTTCACGTTCCTAACATGTGTTATTTTTGAGTGTACAGATCTATATGTTGAGAACTGAAACAGGGAAAGCAGTATAGTGGGAATGTAGGTATAAAAGAGCGTTTATAATATATAGTAAACATGACATGAACACAGAGCACCAACTCTTTTTTATTCTAGAACTTTACCTATGTTATTTCATTCACCTCTGTTATGTAAGTATTGGTAACCCAGGGTGGCAGACTGGTAACTCAGGCATATCATTAAAAATAATAGACATACAATACACAGTATTTTATTTTTTATTTATGAAGTACCATATCTTATGCAGGAGAATGTAGAGAATCATGCTGTTTCCTTTTAATTTCATATTATATGTTTCTTGCTTTTGTTTGTTTATATGAACAGTACTTGCCTCTAAATAGATGATGTAGTACAGGTTAAAAAAAAGGAGATTTGCAGAAATAAGTTGTCAGTGTGGTTGAAGGTTTTTTTAAATGAGTTGGGAATAGAAGGAGCAAGATAACATTGCAAAGGATACCAGAAATCATACCTTTTTGGGTTTGGTTTTGTTTTTGGTTTGGTACCAGGGATTGAATCCCAGGAGTGCTTTACTACTGGTTTACATCACCAGTCTTTTTTATTTTGACACAAGATCTGCTAAGTTGCCAAAACTGGCTTTGAACTTACAATTCTCCTGTCTCAGCCTCCTAGGTTGCTAGGATTACAGGCTTGTACCACCATGCCTGGCACTGTGCTTGTTTTTAAGGCATCTAAAGTTCCTCCAACTTCTGAAGGAAAATACAGGCTCAAAATTGCTTGGGTATGCTAATACCTCCTAATAAGTTTGCTTCTTCTATTGTACTTATAAAGATGCCATTGAGTTCATATTTGTGTCACTAATAAATTTCTAGAATCTGTGTAGTAGACTGTAACAATGTTGTTAAAATATAAAGGGAGACCATTGGCATTTATTTCAGAAACATTCCCTCTATTACAAAGACAAATTTTCTAAATTAGGTTTATATATACATTTTCATCGTACATGTAATCAGTAGCCTAACAAAACTTATTTTTAAAAATATCTTTATTTTATTTATTTATTTTATGTGGTGCTGAGGATCGAACCCAGTGCTTCATGCATGCTAGACAAGTGCTCTCTACACAACCCCACAAAACCCCAGCCCATCAAAACTTATTTTTTATTATAAATATTTTATAAACAAGAAAGCTAAGATTAAAAGAAATTAAGCAATGCAACAACATCTAGTAAGTAAAAATTTGAACCTCAACGTAAGTAATTTGAAGGAATATTTTTGTTTCACTAGATCATTTTTCCCCAACAGTACTCTGGGAACACTGGAATGAATCTTCATACCTTTGTTTGAAGGTTATTTAAAACATAATCCTGCCTGAGCATAGTAAAATTTTGTGTACTTTTGCAAGATAATTGTGCAGTTCACTCTTAAGGAAGCAGAGGTAATGTCTGGTAATATTTTTAGCTTTCTTTTTCTGACCACTGTTGTCTATGATTCACACAGTGCTATTCAGAATGTCAAATATTGTTGGAGAAGCTGTTTCATAAAGTTGATTTATTGTAGAGGATTTTTATTTTGGTCAGAATACTCACTAAGGAAAGTTTATAGAAAATGTAACCTAGAGTTAGGTTTTTAATAGTTGGATTTTTTTGTTTTTTTAAGGTTAGGGATACTCAACCTATATGTACCAGGGAAAACTTTATACCGAAGATAAAATATAAACTGGATCTTGAGGTATGGTGTGAAGTTATTGTTATTTGATTTTCTTGTGGGTGGTGGTGATACCAGGGATTGAACCCAGAGGTGCTCTACCAACTACATTCTCAGCCCTTTTTATTTTTTATTTTGGGACAGGGTCTCACTAAGTTGCCCAGGCTGTCCTCAAATTCATATTCCTCCTGTCTTAGCCTCCCAAGTTGCTGCAATAATTGCACTTATCTAGAGTTTCATTTTATCCAAATGTTCCAGAATTTTGGAATCTTGAAGCAAGTTTTCTCTGAAAAACCAAGCCAAATTATATTTTTTAATTGCAAGGACCCTGTTTTCCCAGAATAAACTTACTATTATACAAGTAAAAAACATGATTTAATAGCTGTGACTTGTTATTTAGGGTTTTGAAGTTAAAGATTATGTTCTCAATGATATCACTTCTACCTTTAATGTAGGAACTATTTTACAGTATTCTAGTCGTGCTGCTTTGGAAATTGAGTGACTACAAATCCTTGTTTCATAGCCTTGTTGGTTTTCATCTGAATTTTGCAGTACGTGCTAACTAGCCATGATACTAATCCTTCCTTATTTCAGTCTATCCTTCACATTGCCCTCAGTGTTTTTTTAATATTTTTTTAGTTGTTAATGAACCTTTATAAATATGAGATGCTGAGGTTCAAACCCAGTGCCTCATATATGTTAGTCAAGTACTCTACCATTGAACTACAACCCCAGCCCTCATCATTATTTTTCAGAAATACAAATGTGATTATTAGGTTCCTTTGTTCCTTGGTGATAATAGTATAAGGTACAAACTCTTATACATTATGTCAAGTATCTTTCCCAGCACAATAAAGCTTGCTTTTCTACACTCTCCCAATTACACTGGTATTTAGGCTAAATAATTCTCTTTTACTTGCTTTGCACAAGCTTCCTCTCTACTTTGAAATGACCTTTCCTTTCTATACCTGGCAAACTTCACACCATACCTCAAGATCCAGTTTATATTTTATCTTCAGTATAAAGTTTTCCCTGGTACATATAGGTTGAGTATCCCTAACCTTAAAAATCTAAAATTCTCCAAAAATCCAAAACTTTTTGAGTACCAACATGGCATCATAAGTGGAAAATTCCATACCTGACCTCTTGCGATAGATCAGTCAAAATGCAGATGCACTAAAAATATTGTATAAAGTTACTTATGGATTATATGTACAAGGCATATATGAAACATAAATCAATTTCATGTTTCAATTTGGGTCCCAACCCAAGATACTTAATTGTATGTATGCACATTTTCCAAAATCCTAAAAACCTGAAATGCATAACAGTTCTGGTCCCAAATCAGATAAGGGACTCTCAACCTGTGTTTCTATTTTTAAATCCATCATACCATATTATAATTTTTTGTTTACAAATCTATTTATCAGTGGGAGGTCCTAAAAGACAGGGACCTCCCTGTATTCTTAGCAAATGATATATTAAAGGTTTTTGCAGTTTAATTTACAAATATCTGCTTATGATTAGCCCTCATGTTGTCAGATGTTTTTTACCATCTAACAAAAATTATCTGTTCTTATGTATTCCTGGAGCTACAATACAATTTGTACAGTAAGTATTGAGTAAACTATTCAATGGTGATAAAAATGGGAAAGAAGAAAACAATTACATTTTATGAGCTGTGTTTAAGAAGAAAGGTCCTTGTATAAATCATGTAAGAAAAACTTTCAGTAAAATAGTATTTCAGTACTGAAAGAGGATTTTTTTTTGAAAAATAAAACTTTTTTTTTTTAACATAACACATTCTCTAGTTCTAAGAATTCAAGATAACAAAATGTTACACCATGTGATTAACCAGAAAAATAG